TGGAGACAAACGTGTTCTCATGTGTTTGTGAGGCAGAAGTCCATGGCATTTAACAAGAATGCAAACCATAGAGTCAGGCTGCCCAGACTGACTTCCCCATACAGCACTTATTGTATAAGGGACCTCTGGAAAGAATCTCAACAGCTGTGAGTAGACGTTATCATCTACCAAGTGGAATTGATACTATTATACAATGGGTTGACTTATAGTACAGATTAAGCATTGTTAGTTGATTTTATCATCTATCAAGTGGAATTGATACTATAATACAATGGGTTGACTTAGCAATAATAGTACAGATTAAGCATTGCTAATCTTGAGATCCAAAATGTGAAATTACAAAATTTGATATTTCTAAGCAGTGACATGATGCCACAAGTGAAAAAAAATATCCACACCTGATTTTCAAAGGACAGACTTCAGTCAAAACTCAGGTTGTCTGGGAGGAATTGTGTAGAGGAAAGACTTTGATCAAAACATACTGTATATGTGGCTATTATGTAGAACTGAATAGTATTGTAAAATAAAATTTAAAAAAACTGAAAAAAAACATACTGTATGTACAAATAGTAAAATACTAAATAAAGTACAAAAAATAATAAATAATAAAGCACAAAAAATACTGTATGTATTTTTTAAATAAAAATAATTATGTAAAATCGCCTTTAGGCTATATGTATAATGTGCATATAAAACATAAATGTGGATCTGGTGTGGTAACACCCATCTTTAATCCCATAACTTGGGATGCAGAGGCCAGTGGGTCTTTATGAATCTGGGGCCGCCCTGGTCCACATAGCAACTTTGAAGCTATCTAGGGTTACATAATGGGACCCTTCTACATAAATGAAGGTCAGAATCATAACTTGGCTGGTTAAGTGCTTTGCCTAGCATCCATCAAGCCCTAAGTTTGATACTCAGCACCACATAAACTGAGCGTGATGGCACATGCCTGGTATCCCAGGACTCAAGAGGTGAAGGCAAGAGAGCCAGAAGTTCAAG